ATACTAAATACATTGCTGAAAGTTGCTTGTTCCCTTCTGACAACAGGAATACTCTGTCAGTAAAAGGGGACCCTTTCTGATATTGCTGTTGCCCACCATCCCACTTGAAAATCCCATTTTATTCATTTTTCCATATATATTGCATGAGTTGGCACATCGGGGGTTATTGTACATATGTAAATAAACATATCTGCATTTAGTCATAAGCAGGATCAGTTGTGACATGGTTAATAAACTACCTTTCACTATGATGGATGGTGACGCAGTGTGGTTGTTCTTTGAACTCATTGTTCTTTTTCAAAATTTAGATAGAAGAACCTGTAAAGCAAGAACATATTCAAATTCAGAATACAGATGAATGCACATATAGCAGATTTAAAGTTTTGGTATTAATTAATATATTCTAAATAACGTGGAGCCAGAATATATCATAGAACATTCTTTCATCTACTGTAGGTGTATTGTACAGACAGCATCTTTGTCAAGTGCCTCTTGATTATCTTGGCATTAAAAGGAAGGATAACATTTTTTTGAGGAGGCCTGTTCTGGAGTACTCTTCTCACTAATCATAGTTCATGCACATGTTAAAAATGTTTTTAAAGTTCTTATACACTGTCTCATATTGCCTATGTCTTCCTAGTTATAACAGTCTTAAACAATAATACCTCTACAGAAATGATAAATATATGTCTTACTCATCCAGAGTAATTTTATTTAATTTTTTCATCATATATGATTTGTCTTTTATTAATTCAAAATTTCTCCCTCTGGGAGATTCTCAGTCATCCAGGTCATGGTTTTCTCACCCCGTTTGGGTTCTTCCTCTAGGGTTTTATTTAATCATATGAAATTACTAAAAAATTTAAAAGGTGACTTTGGTTCCCCACCCCCAGCCTTTCTCAGCATAAGATGCATATATTATTAACTTAACAATAATCATTTTTAGGTTTGATGATAACTGAACTTAAGAACTATGCTTGAATTTCTATTCTAGTGTAGTGTCAACCCAGCAAGATACATCAAACCAGGAAATTAACTCCATAAGAAGGCTAAAGCTACTTTTATTGAAATTTGCTATAATAACAGAAACCTGCAAGCCTGATTTACTGTATCGCCTTCTCTTTCTTATAGTTTGTTAAATTAAGAAGGTATCTGTTTTAGTCATTTCCAAAAATTATCTTATTCTGAACTTTAAAAATCTTCTATCCCTCTTTGCTTTATTTTTTTTTTATTCTATACACATAGTATGCCTAGTAATCTACTAAAATCTTTGGTTTCAGCTTTCATATAATTTAGTAGACCTTGCCAACTTTAACAACCAAAACTTTAACTTAACACAGTGTTAGAATTTTACAGTTTGTACAGGATTTATAGAGAAATTAATTAAATGTAACCACTAATTCAGAAGTCACCAACATAGTAAAGGAATTAGAATTGTTGTTAGTTGCAAAGTTGTGTCCGACCCATTGCAACCCCATGGACAACGTTCCTCCAGCCTTTCTGTCCTCTACCATCTTCTGGAGTCCATTTAAGCTCATGCCTACTGCTTCAGTGACTCCATCCAGCCACCTCATTCTCTGTCGTCCCATTCTTCTATTGCCCTCACTCTTTCCCAGCATTAGGCTCTTCTCCAGTGAGTCCTTCCTTCTCATTAGGTGGCCAAAGTACTTGAGTTTCAACTTCAGGATCTGGCCTTCTAAAGAACAGTCAGGGTTGATCTCCTCTAGGACTGACTGGTTTGATCGCCTTGCAGTCCAGGGGATTCGCAGGAGTCTTCTCCAGCACCATAGTTCAGAGGCCTCAATTCTTTTGCGCTCAGCCTTTCTTATGGTCCAACTTTCACAGCCATACATTGCAACTGGGAAAATCATGATCTTGACTATACGTACTTTTGTTGGCAGAGTGATGTCTCTGCTTTTAAGTATGTTATCTAGATTTGCCATAGCTTTCCTCCCCAGGAGCAAGCGTCTTTTAATTTCTTGGCTGCAGTCCCCATCTGTGGTGATCTTGGAGCCCAGGAAGATAAAATCTGAATTACCTCTGGTCAACAATTGCCCAACTTATAACTCACTCTGTTCTGTTTTTCTCACCCATAACTATGCTTTGTTTGCTAGCAAGTAATTAAATGACAGCTGTATTTATGTTAACCACATCCAGAAAATAATGTACTGTCTAGTGCAGGGGTGTCAAACTGCCGGCCCACGGGTTGGACACGTCACGTGGAAGCCGCGCCCACCCCCTTGCCAGCAATGGCAAAACAGTCCCAATACGTTGCGCAATGTCACGTGATGTCGCGAGTTTGACATATTTGGTCTAGTGTGTAAGAATAAGCAAGAAAGCAAGAAATTGCCTTCTAGAAACAATTCAGTAGAAATGGGAATAGTTAGAGTGAAAGGGTATGCCTCAAGTTCAGGTTGAAACTAACATTATCCTTAAAATTCTTATTTCTTATGTTATCTATTTCTAGTTTTCCTATCTTGAATGCAACTTCTATGATAGCTAAGAACATGTCAATAAACAAAGCATAAATGCCTGTAAACAAACGTAAATAAAAATACCAAAGGAATAACTTCATACAATTTTAGGAGTTCTGTACACAAGTTTAATCAGAAACAAAAAACAGTACGTACCATGGAATTGTTGAGAATCCAACTTTCTATATATGCTAACATAATGTTCTAATGTGAAGTAAGTAATATTCATAAGTACAGTTAATATATTGTCCTGCCCTTTTGAAAAATTGATGACATTGTAGATAACACATGTTATCTGTAGTACGGCTGGATGTAGGTTGAAACTTTAAAGTACTAGTATACCCAGTATTAGTGTAATGTAATGTGGCAAAGAATGTAGGGGAGGTACAGAAGCCTTGTAAATGCAGCCACTTCCTCTTTGCAAATTGTTGTCTTCCCTTTCTCTATGCTTTAATCCAGTGGTTCTCAACCTGTGGGTCGGGACCCCATTTGGGGTCGATCGACCATTTCACGGGGGTCGCCAAGCAAGGCTGCCTGCCATTTTTTTGTCTGCCATTTTTTCCCCTTTTCCGGCGGGTGTCTTACCTCCCTTGGGCTGGGCCAGCTGGTGGTCGGCCTGCTCCGTCTCTGCCGCTTGTCAGCTATGCCTCGGCCGGCGCAGGGGGCGGAACCACGCATGTGCGGCGCTCCCGGGCAGGGAAAGTCCTCGACTTATGACCGGTTGGGTAGTCCTCGACTTACGACCGGTTTAGTCCTTGACTTATGACTGGTTTAGTCCTCGACTTACGGCCGGTTTAGTCCTCGACTTACGACCGGTTGGGGTCGCGGCATTAAAAAGGTTGAGAACCACTGCTTTAATCCATGCCAGTCTGAATGGTCTTCAGGTCTTAAAATCCTATTTTTGAAGATTGCTCTGGAAAGAAGAGGATTGAAGTCCTGTTAAGCATGAAAACTTTAGATTTAAGTTGGGTATTTGGCATAATAGAATAGACATTCTAGCATGATAGGTGCAGTGTGTCCAACAAATGCTTCCTGCTAAGTTTTTTGCCCTGTTCTACTTTTTAAACACTTGCTTCCAAACCATGATATACATGTTTTTTAAAAAGTAGAATATATATTTTCAAAGAGATATTTTTTTGAAAATGAAAAGTGGTATATGAGTGCAGCCTAATACTTGGTTTGTAAATATGCTTCCATATGTGGGAAAGGTAGTGTGGATCAGTGGTGGGATTCAAATATGTGGATGCCGCTTCCGGAAGTCCATTCTGGGCCTTGGGCAACAAAAAATTACCTACCGGTTCTGCCGAAGTGGTGCGAACCGGCTGAATCCCACCACTGGTCTGGATTCTTACTGATTATTGTGGGTGTTTAGTTCACCTTCTGATAATTGGATAGCATATGATTAGCCATGGAGCTATGGCAGCCAGTTTATGAATAGGCATTAAAAACTGGACCCATTGCTTTGAGTGTCAAAAAATTGCATTATTATGATGCAACCCAGTGTATATTTTAATGAAAGAAGTTTCTTAAGCAATTTTTTAAAACTAGATTGGTTAATCTAATGCTGGCAACTGCTGGCAATTGCCTGGACAAGTTGCTGCAGTTTTCTTGGTGAGATTTCGGAAATGGTTTGCCCTTTTGGTTTTGTCCTACGATGGAATTAAAATTCACAGTCTTCCAGTTTCTAGCGTGTACCTTAACCACTACATCAAACTGGCTTTCCAATCTAATGCTATTTAGTAGAAACTGAGATGGAGTACATCGTTTTTCATTCTTTTCTTGAAAAATAACAGTTTAATGATAATTAGGTAGCCCATTTCCATCCTAGAGGCTAGCAACTTTTCTTCCTCTTTAATATTGAAAGCATTATTGAATATTAAGATTCTGTTTGTCTGATATCCTACCTTTTTATGAAATCCCAGGAACAAATGCACCCAAGGAGCATTTCTAATGCTATCCTGGGCATAATTAATGGAGCTTCTTCCATGGAAGCAGGGATAACAGAGCAGAAGATATAAATGTTGAATCCATTTAATTTGAGAAAAGATCCAAGCCAGTGTTTTTGAATAAATGAGGAATTGTGTAGCAATTCCTTAAATAATAGAATCACAGATCTGGAAAAGGCCACTTAGGTGATGAAGTTCATGTCTGCTCAGTACAGAAATCCAAATTAAAATATCTCCAGTGGGGAGCAGCCCATAACCTCCTTACTTGTTCTATCCTCAAACTGCTCATATGGTTAGGAAATATTTTCAACTAAAATCTGCCTTCCAGTAGTTTAAAATTATTATTCTACATCTTGTGTTCTGAGTTTTGATTTTCTGCTTTATGCATTTTTTTCAGCTATTGAAAAGTATTATGTTACCCTTTCCTACTTAGTCTTTTCTTCTCAAGGCTTAAATTCTCCGGTTTCTAAATCTCTTTTCATAGGACTTACTTGATTTCGAAATCCAAGTTGAAGAAATCAAATACACCTGAGTGAAGAAATATATTTGTTCCTGTTAAATTTTATTCTATTATTTTCAGTATGATTATGTTTAAGAATGTAATGACCATGCACAGAAGTCCTGATTTAATGTCCAGGTAGGGCTCATATCTACCTGCAAAGTGCCTGAAGAGCATTTGTGCAATCTGCAAATATCTATTAATAAGAAATCTCCATTAAGTTCAGTGGGTCCTGGGCTAAGGACACGCAACCTTAAGAATAAGTTTAAAAACTCTTTGCGTAATTTTTCCTCTGTTGTAATTCAAGGAATAGTTCCACATAGTAATCTTCAGCATGTGGTGATTTGGTGACAAATAGTACTATATAACGAAACAGGCCACTGGATTTTCAGTATTACCTTGCATAACTGGTAACCTAATAAGCAAAAAATCTTAGTTCTAACTGTGACACTATGGTCATTAAGCGTATTACTGTGGTTTAAAGCAGGACAGTCTCAGATGGTTATCATATGACCATAGGATGCTGTAACAGTCCAAATAAGTACTGATTGACAAACACCCAAATTGCAATCATGTGACCATGGGAACACTGCAACAGCCATAACGTTAAAGACTCATAAATCTCCTTTTTTCAATGCCATTATAACCTCAAATAGTTACTGAATGAGCGGTCAGTAAGCGAGAACTACCTTTATGTATTGCTAAAGACACCAAACCCTTGAAATCAAATTGAGAAAGGCTAAGACTATTCAACGGAGGATACAGATCCCCATATAGCTAGCAGATGCAGCAAAGAGTTGGCTTGTTTTTCCTTTGTTTCCCATCTATTGATCCTCTGAAATTTTGCACATGGGATGAGGCTACATTGGAGAATCCAAAGGTACTAGCCACAAAGAATTGAATCTAAACAAGGACAATATTTTTTAAAAAAATCAAAACTGATTGTATTTTTGGTTCCTTTTCATTTCTTTCATATCAAGTTTGTTTAATAATATCAACTTTTTAAAGCATATTATTATTGTGTTTCCATATCCTTATTTTATGCCAGATCTGTGACAGAAAATGTATGAACCAAAAATTGGGAAGCAGAGGTAGACTACCAGCACCCATTTATTCTAGTTTTCAAATTGGCAATCTCTAAGGCTTAATGTTCCACTCAACACCTGCCAAGAAGGCAACAAAAATAGGAGTTTTTATCAAGCTGTGAGTGAAAATAGTATGTAAAAGTCAATGCAATATGTTTACTCTTGCTTTGTTAGTGACTGTTCTTTTCATTGTGGCTTACAAAGAAATCTATCATTAAAAATAACTTCTGGTTTAGAATTAAACATATTTTCCACATGAAGGATTTTCTTTTATCTGCAATCATTGCAAAACAATATTTATTTTCTCCCTTTGAAGGACAGCGAACCAAAGGATTGAACTGGAATAGGACTCTTGAAAATTCTTAATGTTGGTTGATATAGTTCTGCCCATTGTACAGAACATGGTTACAGTTAAGGTTAGTTTGATTTTCATAGGTATTTTCCACTTTGCAATTATTTCAAGAATTTTTCTTAACTTCTCAGATTAAGATAGGCACTTTAACATTTTCAGTGTTGTACAACTTTTTTAATCATTGAAACATGTAGTCATTTAGGATATTGATAAATGCAGTAAATAAGCCATCCATCCATGCCAGAAATCACAGTGTTCCTATAAGTAAAACTCTGAAAGCTAGTCAGCTGCCACACACTCACCCATTCCAAAATTTTCCCTTTGCTTTCAGTAGACGAGAATGCATTTAGGCCAATTCTTGACAAATCTTTCCCCACGCCATTCTGAGTGTGGAGCTTTTACTCCATCCTAAAATAAAAAGCAAATGGTACTTTGTCAGGAATGCTAGATTTATGCCTTAGTCTTTTACAGCCCATTTATAGGCTCAGTTCCAATATATATACCTAACCAGTGAAGAAAGAGTCCACTTTAGTGACTCCTTACACAGATAAGGAGAATATGCAGATAATTTGGCATTTGTGACCTTTAAAAATCAGAAATAAAGAGCTAATTAAAAAGTTGTGAAATGACCTGACATATATAAATATAGTTGTTGACCTACTTAAGATAATTTGAGTTAATGTCAGGGATAATTTAGACGTCATGTTTGGCTAACTGTACTTTGTTTATAAGGAATGAAAGAATGGAATGAGATCCAGGATTCAGGCATTCTCTAAATGGAATTAAGTCCCATGGTGCTCTGTCTGTCTGTCTGTCTCTCTCTCTACACACACACACACACACACACACACACACACACACACACACACACACACTGTGAGACAAATTATCTCCATAATTCTGTAGTATTTAATATATATTTACTTCATCATTACAATAGGGATAATTATTTAAAGAGCTACTTAGCTACTTCAAAGAATTTGGATCCAAACTGTACCATTATGAATATTTATGAAAGTTACAAGACTCCTTACAATCACTGGACTTGAGGCAGCTTACAGAATTTACATGATAGAAATGTAAGGTCCCAATCCCTTATTTGAACTTGAGATACCATATCAATCTAATCAGATAACCCAAGTGGAGGTTTCTTAAACAGCTCTTTATTTGATCAAATAAGGTGGCTGGGTGGCAAACAATCTGGAACACTGGCAGAGTTACGTCCAGAAGTGCCATACCTTGGAAAGTTAGTAGCATTGCTTTATAAACTTTGTTAGCCAATGAAAATCAGACAACAGAGCCATTACATCATAAGGAAGACATCAATCATTCCTGTACACTCCCTTATTCCCTCCTTCAGTACATCTCATCCATGTACATGTTTCCCACGCTTGCATAAGATTTCCCTGGTGCAAAAGCCGATTACAAAAAGCAAGAAAGCAACAGTTAGACTAAACAATTTCCCTTTGTTCCAGAACCCTTCAAAAGCAAGAAACATACTCAGAATGAATTGTACTAATTATTTAGAGCTATTTAATTAACTAATCAATAGTTAATTAACTATTTTTATAGATATTTTATTAATTTTCTATTTTTACAATCAAGTACTTAATAGACAACTAAACTAAATCCAATATTACACCGTTCAATACATCCTCTCTTCTTCCGGTAATAAACATTTTCCCACACTAAGCAAATACAATTCTTATTGTTATTAATAAATATACAGTTGAATATCAGCATCTTTGTTACAGTTTTCTAATAGTATCAGTAATATCAGTTTAAAATATCTTTTCTAACAAAAACATATCTTAATTGCATTTGCACTCAATATCCATTTATTCAGTTAGTATCCTATTTTTGCTTTATTTCAGTTTTAATTTCCCATCCATGTTCAAAATATTCCAATAATTTATAATTTCAAAGCAAGTTATTTTTGGGTAACCAAAAGCTTCCCTTATTCAAACTTCTTAGCATTTTCTTATTTTCCTTTTCATGTCAAGATATGATATTCTGATTACAAATCTTATCTATCTAGTTATAATAATATTTCTACTTCTAGCAATCTATTCTTAGCCATATTCAAACATATAATTAATAATATAATATCCCCTCTAATAGGTCAAAGCTTCTGTTTTCTTCAGTCTTACTCTAGTTTTCTTCCTATGCAAACTAACTTTCCAAGTCAGTGCTTTTGGATCATCAAATAATTCTTCCTCTATTTTTGTATATATTGTTTGGAACAAGAAAGACAATTTGGTTAAAGTATTTTAGGAAGAACTAGCCCATCGATATTCATTAAACAGCCTCCCTCCTTCTCCCATTGCCCACAGTTCTACTAACGGCTCTATCTTCCATTCCATCAGCTCTCCTTCCTTATCCTTAAGTATGCCCTGAAATCTTGGTTGGTAAAATGTCTTTTCCATTTCCAATATTATTGTTATGTCTTCTGATTCTTCATTTGTCTGAGTCTGTCTGTTAGTTTCTTCCTTTAGGTCCTCCATGTTTAGGTCAGCTTTGTCTAGTTTTCCTTCTATTTTCTGGGTTGCTAGTTCCTTCTCTGTATTTATTTTCTGAGTTTGTAGATTTAAATTAGAAAATTGTTTTTTTATCTCCTTTGTATTATTTTTAATCTCATCATGAGCTAAGGCAATTGTTTCTTGTATTGATTTCAACATGGAGAGAATTTCTTTCTGTGATTCATCAGTATTTTCTTGGTGGTATGAAAAATTGGGGCTTCTGGAGACAAATACTAAGGATGGTTTTTTACCATTTAGAACTAAATATGGAACATCCATTTTATTTTTTGTAAGTAGCCTTTATAGAGATCTGTTTAAGAATTTAGAAAGTTTCAGTTAATTGTCATTGGAGCTCCAGATTATCCAGCCAACTTATCAGTCCATTCTTAAACCTCCCCTAAGCAAATATAAGTAAAATTCAAATTTTTCTGTCCAAGGAGAAATATGTCCTTTCTGTCCAGGGAGAAGAAAGAACCATTAAAAGTTGTTTATCAATCAAGATTTATAATCTAAAATATTCTATCATATCAGGCACTAGTGTATGTTTCTTCTGCAGGAAAATAGATCCACAATACAGTTCTGAAAGTCAGCATTTGTGTTTGTAGTTCAGACAGGCCAGTTTTAGAATAGTTTACCATCTCTGCCACACAGATAAGCAGCCCCCAAGTCTTTTCCCTTTTCTCAGCTGCAATCTTCAAAAGTAAAAGCTTCCAAGGCCAGCCAGAGTCTTATCTAAGTCTGGGCTTCGAGCCAGATTTCTTTTAGGCACAATAAGTTGTAGTGCCATAATTCACCACTAGATGTCATTGATGCCGTTTGGGCAGTTTTTCAGGAAGAGTCTTAAAATCATAAAGAGATTTCCTTCTGTTGTCAGGCGCTTCTTACTGGCTACACAAATGTAGCCAATCTTTCCCCTGCCGGTTTGGAGGGCTTCCTCGGATCAAACAGAAGGGCTGCCAACCTCCCGCGATCAACAAGGGTCCCCTCCTTGTTCATCGCCTCTTCGGGGTGACTTTCAACCCTTTTTAGGGTCCCCAATGGGGCAAAATTGAATGCAGAAGATGGAGCCCTGTCTTCCTGCGCTCTGTCTTCCTGTGTCCGTTCCTCTGCGATATCAAACCGGAAGTGAATAGTTAGTTAACTATTAATAGCAGTAATTAAAATGCTAACAAAAAGTAAGAGGCTAAAATCACAGAATTGTAAAAATAAGATCAAAGATGCCAAGATGAAACCGAATTCATCTCAGTTGGGAAACAATATTTTTTTATTTGAACTGCTTTGTGATGCAGTGCAATGAGATTCAACCCAAAGTCAGTCATCAGTTAGTTGTCTGTCTGTATGTCTGCCTACTTGCCTGCCTGCCTCTCGGTCTGTCTGTCTGTAGTCTGTCTGTCTGTCTCCTTCATAAGCATGGTAGAGGAGAACGCTATTCTACCCATGTAGACATGAGAAAGATAAACTCAGCTGGATTTGATTAGTATTTCAATGGGACAGCATTAGCATTTCCTGGACTATAGTTTATATGGGGGAGGGGTAGGAAAAAGATAATAGGAAACTAGTTCTGTATTATTGCCCCAAAAAACTACAGAGACATGTCCCTGCAGTCAGCAGCAGAAGCCAAGCTCAGTGTGAAGGAAACTATTTTTACTTGTCTTTCATAAGTGATGTGTAAAGTCACCATGAAGAAAGGAAGACATAAGGTTAAAATGCACCTTGGCAATTCAGCAAGACATCTGCTTCTTCTGGATACAATATTATGTTGAAGGATTTCAACTACCGTGTTTACCAAAAAATAAGACTCGGTCTTATATTATATATATATATATATATTTGCCTCCAAAAGAGGTATTCGGTCTTATTTTCAGGGGATGTCTTTTTTCCCACTGTCTTGCCTCGTGGCAGCGGCACCAGCAACCCTGTCCATCAGGAGCCCATGTGGCTGCCGGCCCACTTCTGCAGCTTCTGAAGTCCAGAACGGAGCTTGGGGTTGATGCACGCATCACCCCCCCAGCCTCTGTTTTTCTGGCAGAGGGGTTGTGAGTGCCGCTGCCATGAGGCGAGGCAACTATCAGAGCAAGGAAGGCCTGGCTGCGGCGATTCTCAGGTAAGCGGGTGCGGGACGCCTGGGGCAGCTCCACCCCCCTGCCCCAGCTTGATTTTTACGTGCATGCGTCGCCCCATCTCGTGCGACCAGATGGTGGGATGTAGTGAGCGGGGTCTTAACTAGGGCTTATTTTGGGGGAAAAGGCTTATATTAGAGCACGCGTAAAAATCAAGCTAGGGCTTATTTTCAGGATAGGGCTTGTTTTTGGGGAGACACGGTATGAACCTTTACCTGTTCTGTAAAGTGACAGCTAGATAACTTTCTGTTTCCAATTGCACTAAATAAATTATTTGGGAATATGTTGCTGGAAATTTCTGAGTTGTTGCACAAGCTGCAATGCCTTATGCTTATACAGGTAGTCTTCGAGTTACAACCACAATTGAGCCCAAAATTTATGTTGCGAAGTGAAACATTTGTTAAGTGCATTTTGCCTCATTTTATAACTTTTCTTGCTGCAGTTGTTAAGTGAATCATTGCAATTGTTAAGTTAGTAACACAGTTGTTAAATGACTCTGGATTCCCCATTGACTTTGCTTGTCGAAGGTTGCAAAAGGGGATCACATGAGCCCAGCACCCTGCAACCATCATAAATATGAACCAGTTATCAAGCATCCAAATGTAAATCATGTGACCATGGGGATGCTGCAATGGTCATAAATGTGGGAAAAGGTCATAAGTCACTTTTTTCAGTGTCATTGTAACTTTGAATGGTCACTAAATGAACGGTTCAATTCTAATTTAAGGCCGTGCAAGACACATGTTTTTATTATGCTAGTGAAACTCTGTTGTGTATTGCTGTTATGTTACAGGCTAATCCAGTATTTGGAGTCACCATTATAATATTTTTAGTAGTATATGGAAGCACTGAAATGCCTAGAGTAGTATTCAAAGTCCCAATTAATGCTTCTAGGCTATTTTCCTCTATAGATATAGAAATATAGGTCAGGGATCCCTAACCCCCAGGCCGTGGCCCACTACCGGGCCTTGAGCCGTTCAGAACCGGACCACAGAAGTGGCAGGCGAGCACCCAAGCACATTCCCACTTATGTGATCAGCAGGCAAGCTTGTGCACACACACTCCATTTGTGCAAGTGGCAGGTACCGTAGCTGTGTCCGCTGCTCACGTGGAATCATCCCTTCTCCCCCCCCTTGCTGGTCCACAAAGCTGGAAAGATTGGGGAACTCTGATATAGATGATATAGATAAGTATAGTCTGGTCTATTACCTTCTATTAATACTCACCAAAAATCCCATATTGTTAAAACACACAAAAAATACTTTCAAAATATTGGTCCAGTTCAGATTAATTTGTTTTGTTATGTTTCTTAAATCACAGTTACTCACATGCAAGTTCATATGGCATGCTGAGCCATTATTTAATCATGATTTACTATATAGACCATAATTGGCTGAGTTTACATAATGTGCTAAATCCAAACTAAAGAATTACATTATGGCTTTAACCAGCATTATGTCAGAATATTGGATTATTACTAGGAACACAACAAGATCACAAAGTACTTTTAATTGGGTTACACTTCATAATTACATTTGGAGTTTATTACCCAGAGTGTTTAATTTGCATTCAATAATCTATGTTTCAATTGACTGAAAGAAAACACATATATGAGTAGCAATAACCTGAATGCTTTTCTGTGTCAAATACCATCAAATATAGGTGGAAGATTTGTACACTAATGGCTGATCAAAAAGCATTTTGTGATTGAGGTTTGTTTCATTTTTTCTTTTTTAGGAAAAAATCTTTCCTGTTTTCTGCTTTATATGCTGCCTTTATATTCGGTGGTCGGCATCTAATGAACAAAAGAGCAAAATTTGAACTAAGAAAACCATTAGTTTTGTGGTCTTTGAGTCTCGCAGTTTTCAGGTAAGCTACTTTTTGGAAGAAGCTATTCATATTTAAATTATTAACTGATCTAAATAAGGAAAATATTTTTAAAAGCTAATTTTTAAAAGCATCAGGATTCTTACATCTTACAACTGCCTTCCCCAAGCAGGAGATCGTGGAGAGAGAGAAATTTCAACTCTGAGAATTCCCAGCCAATGTATTTTATAATATGTATGCACCACAATTGCATGATGTGAACTGTCTTTTCTATAATGGTCCATACCCTGTGAGGCATCCCTTTCTTGTTTATCTGGCCACTTATTCCCCCAAGTGCTAGCCAGGCTGAAGTGAAATGGGAGCCTGTGGATGGCATGTTAGGGGCATCACAGGGCAATGGGTATGGCACTGGGGGGTGGTTTCTTTGTTTTATGGGTATTTTATTTTACTGCTTTGTGCTTTTATGCTCTAAAATGGGTGGCTCTGAGTTAGGCTTTAAAATGGGCGGCTATACAAATCTTTTAGATAAATAAACTGTCCTCCTGAAAGCTGTATGTCCTTCCAAGATTCATTAAAGCATATGAAGATCGGCTCAGGATTAAGAAACATCTGAGGAAGTAATACAATGTTATTTTCACCATCTTTAAATTGTGGATTTAATCTGTTTACCCGAGCTTCATTGGAATTCTAGCTTACAATCTTGTACTTGTCTACTCAAATTAATTCACATTGGGAGAAATACTACTTAATTCTAAAGGAATGCACTGTAGAAGGAGAGATAGTAGTCGAAAATAAGGGGAGTCTGGTAGCACCTTTCCAGCCTAACAAATTTTATGAAAAGCTTTCATGAGATAGAGCTTGCTACATCATGTACATGGAAATGTAAGATGCAGCCTAGGTTTCTGTTACATGTCTAAAAGTTTTCTGACAATTGTAATGTGTATGAGAGTCAGTTTGGTACACCACAGTCTTAAGGGAAAAGGCAAGGCAAACTACAAGCCCACAAGCCGGCAGTTTGACACCCTTGTTTTAGAATATTCACTTCTCCCTGAGAAGTGCATGTATTTATTTTTAAATCTCCTCCTATCAAATTTTATTAATTTAATACTTTTCTAAGAAATTATACTTGACCCTGTTTGGTGGAATAAGTTGAAACAATAGTAACTAGCAATTTGTCTAATTCTCCCTAAATAAACATATGTACAGTATTTATAAATGCTGATTTATCTACCAAAATTTAACAAAACAAGTAAGCAGTGTTTTTTTTAAAAAATTATCTAATCTTCATTCCATCTTTTATAATAAAAGAAGACAAATATTTATATCAATTTCTAGGGGTTGCTTTCTAATGAAATTGGAAATGCTAAAAATATATATAAAACACTGCTATCTCTTATAGATTATACTGCTTAGAGTCTTATGCCAATTTAGCACTGTCTACATTTACTGGAATTGCCATCTTCAAAGTTCTTCATTCCTTCAGCCGTACTGGCTGGAATCTCTGGGAATCATTCAGTCAATATATTTGAAGAGTCTGAACTGATTCCAATCTTGGGTCTCCAGATGGCCTTGAAGAATGGAAGCAGGACAATTGTAGTTGGAAGCCATTGGAAGAGCTAAATTAGAAGCAACAATGGAAATGAGCAGTGGGGAACATCTGCACCTAAATTGTAGCAAGCGTTCATGACAAATAACTAACAAAAAGAGTCATCTAGCCTCAGCTACACTTCACTTGTTATTGAAAGAAGTGTAAGATTGATTGAAGTAATATAAGAACTCTTCAAATGAATAAATAATCAAGCAAGCAAGCTAACTCACAGGATCCCAACATAGCTACAAACATTTCTTATTATCCACAAGGCTACACATTCCATCTGATTTTATGACTCTGCAATGTTTTTAAGAAGAAAACAAGGCAAAAGACTGTCATGGCATAAAGAAAAGCTTCAAATCTTTCTTAATAATGCTTCTGGGTCACACCAAGCACTCTTAAAAAAATAAAATGGGGGGGAAAGGCAGTGCTTTTTTAAATGTAATCCATCTGCTCAGAAAAATAACTTGAGGTAGTACAGATCTGATTGCAAAATTAGAGAGTGTTGGCAGGAAACAACTTAGGCAGTTTAACTTCTCACTATTATATGATTGGCCGTGCATATAATAGTAGAGATTTTGGGAGAATTCCATTAAAATGCTCCTCAGCCCAAATGTTTGGGGACATTTGCCTTCCTTGAATACTCATATACCTCGATGAATCCTTTATCAGAGCTCTAAAACAATCAGTGACTGGCATTGTGCTCCAATTGTGTTACTGCTACATGGTATTCATGATATCTTTTTTCTCTGGTAGGATCACAGAAAACAAATACAGGTGATCCTTTCTTACTGACCAGTTATTCAATGATGATTCAGTTTCGATGCTGCTGAATAAGATTTATGATCAGTCTTTGAAGTTGCAGCTGCTGCAGTGTCCCTGTGATCACATGATTGTGATTCAGTCGCTTGATAACCAGCATACATTTATGACAGTTCCAGCATTCTGCAGTCACATGATTACCATTTGCAACCTTCACAGCCAGCTTCCACCAAGAAAGTCAGTGACCAAGCCTGCAGGAAGCTACAAGTTGTGGTCATGTGACATCATGCTTAACAAGCATAGGTGATGAGTTAATGACTTCAGCTGGAATTGCCATAGCAAGTTGGGTGCAGTCATGTAATTTCCCACGTTATGACTGAATAGCTTAAGAACAGAGTTGCTGGTCTAGTTGAGTTCAGTCAGTGAGGACTACCTGTAGACCAAAGTGAAAAGTTAAAAAAAAATCACAAAGGTTGGCCATCAGTAGCAATATTTGGAACGTAATTTCTTGCTGTCCCTTAATTAAAAAAATTATTTGCATTCTTCTATTTATCTGTTTGTTTTCATACCTTCTTCTGGGAGTCTAAGGTGGCATGCATGATGTTATCTCGCTCCAGTTTTATTCGTACAAAGCAGATTAGTCCAAGAATTAGTGAGTCTGCCAAAATACTAATGAAGCTGCACTTTGATGTAATCACTATTATGCTGACATAATCACCGATGTTACATTGGTATGATCTCTATTGAAGATATCCTTGCCCAATTCTCTGGAGGTGGCATCAGCTGATCCTAAGAATGAGCTCTTTATTTGGAACATTGCCTTGTAATTGTAATAGCTATTTCAGTCTTTTGTTACAATTGTTTTTGGCCAAGTAGATGGAAATGAATGGCCCGATTGAGTTTTTTGCACTCACGTGGTGCTCTTAATCAACAGTGTTGTTTTGGCAACAAATCATTTGGAGATGCATCCTAACTTTTCATATTTTCTTGATTCTTTTGAGGTTGTTTTCAAACCTCAAGACTTAAGTCAATGGAGGCAAATATAAATAAATATCTTTACATTTTACTTTATAAGTAAAATGCATTTATCCTGTTGCTACCCATCTATGAGGCTCATAGATGGGTAGCAACAGCATGAATGCATTTTACTCCATTGGCATCCCATAGATTACAGATGTCATTATTGAGAACATAGGTACTTAATAGGAACTTATTAATTTGCTTTTTTAAAAATAACATTTCCATCGAATCCAGGATATATCTCAGCTTGAAAAACAAACAAGATCCTTTTTAGCACTTTGTAAAATATGAAACCAGTATTACTGTATATAACAGGGGTGTCAAACTGCCAGCCCGTGGGCCGGTTTCATCATACCGGAGCCATGCCCACCCCATTGCCGGCAATGGCAAAAAAGCTCCGATACGTCGCGCGACGTCACGTGACGTCGCGAGTTTGACATGTCTGGTATATAAGCTTCAGGTTTACCCTAAATGCACCATATAATTAACTGGTGCATTTAGAATGTAGCAAATTCTTCATTTATTGGGGAGTCTTTGGTATTCTCTGACGTTGGTTGTTTGCTTGCAAACAACTGGGTAACATCAGCAGTACTAGTGAGAGTAGTGTTTGCTCTGTTTATATACAGTGGCCTGTTTTGCAGGTATTGATGAGTGTGTAGTTTTCTCCTTAGTAGTTCTTTGATTAGGGCGTTGTGTTCTGCCTGATTGTTTGTCTAGTGTTAACCCCTGCTTATCTGGGTGTAGGCTGCTGGAGAGGACATGTTCTGGTCTTTTTCCTTGGTTAAATCGGCAGGTAAACTGAGGTCCTTTCAGTTTCCATGTTTCAATGTCTATAAAGCTTTATAAGTACTGCTAAAATACCCTGTATCCATATGGTCACATATCACATGCTACGTGGTAGCAGTTAGTAGCTGCTGCAGATTTTAAGTAAGCTGCCAGTACTTTGAATTGTCTTTATAAGAAACTGGAAACCAACAAGGCTGTGAAATGTTATAAAACAACTCATACACCACATCTTCTGCATTCTAAGGTGAAAATTATCATGGCATGTATAACTGAGGCTGAGTTATATTGGAGAGCAAGGTGCTGCAATTAGTCTGATCTTTGATAATAAAAAATGCTATTTGTCACCAGGACTACCGGTAGTTATATTTCTATGTGCAAAGGTAGATCTGTCTTCTGTAGGTACACAGAATATTGAGTAAACTAAATATCAACTGAGTATCTGGAGATCAAGTTGAATACAGGAACAGTGCACACGATGATGCTTCTACACACACAATGCAGTGTTTTATGAAAAACATATTGTAGATAAATTTATTTTCTCTTTTAAGCTTTTGTCAACGGAATAGTAATTTTATTACTCTAAGTTTATATCATCTTCTCAAACAGTTTTTCTCCCACAAAAGTTATGAACATATAAAGATATGTTTTTAACACTTGGAAGAGATGTGATCCATTTAAACATTTGTATTAAATTCAAATGAAAAAATAGACCATATAGACATACCCTTGAGATATCTATGTTTTCCCATGTATAACATAATAATAAGAGAGCCTGAAAGCTGATTACCTTAGTTTCTTGCTAACTGACCAGGTAGCCTCTATTTCACATAATGTAACCTGGTTCTATGTCAGAGCTATAATTAGTTATAAGCACAGCTTCCAAGTGAAATAATGGTGAAACTTAACTAGGCTTCTATAATTCAATATATTTTCCCTTTTTTCTTTTCCCCCTCCCGCTTTTTTCTCTTCTGCTTTTCAATATACACTATTATATGTTTTATTCTACTAGTTCCTTGTTTTAATTAGTTGGACTATAATCCCATCAAAACCTAGAAGGGGTTCAGCAAGTATTAGACTTAATATAATTTAGCATAGCTTTACATTCTTGTATTGTTTCATAAATTCTGGTATTACTTTTGTCCTTTTTATACTTACCTATCCTATCTCTTTATAGCATTTAAGTTATTGTAAAATTAATTGTAGCTTTCTAAGATTCTTTTTCATTTTAATTCCTATAACTAGTTTTACATTAATAATTATACCTTTACCTGGTTTTCTACCAATGTGACTTTTTATTTCTATTTTAGTGTAATTGTTACATTATTATTTCTATGTAGGTCCATGAGCAATATAAATTTGAATGATTGGCTTATTTAAAATATGCTTACATATATGCAATGTAGTCTCCAAAGAATTCACACAGAGCCTCATAATACACTATGAAATTTTGAAATTTAATTAATGATTGCCAAATAGTAAATTATCTGCAAGTTACTCACCATGCCCTGCAACCTTGGATGAAATGAATTGTCTGAGTTTTTTCAATCTTGCTGCAGGGCTCAGATTATCTCTGGAATAGCCATAGATGATGCATAGTTCTTATTAAAAAAAGAGAGGGGAGTGAAAAGTTATTGATTTTTTATGATAATAAAAATCATAATAGTTTTAATTATGATGAAAATAATAAGATTATTATTAATCTTAGTAATAAGATTCAGAGACATAGTTTTATTTATAATGCTGGATTCATTACAGAAATTGCATTGAAATTATATAGAAACTGTATATGTGCTGGATTTCCTTTGCACTTTCACAATGTATACAGTAAAATTGCTTGGAATATTGATACTAGTCTGGTATTGATAGAATTCTCTCTTTTATCTAAGGTTATTTAATTAGGGTGTTGATTCTTATATAAATATAATAACAAGTTGATGAGGACTTACTTGTGAGAAAAGAATAGCCAGAGCTATGGAGGAGAATTAAGTGCATTATTATTCACCACTAAATTGATTCAACACTAAATTGGTACCAGATAAGGGTCAAAGCAATTCAGGAGAGGTTGGACTTGAAGTGTTTGTGGGAATGCAACAACTCTAAGATTGTTGTTGTTGTTGTTGTTGTTGCTATTGATCATCGCACAGTCAGCCAGATGTTCAGACTGGATTTGGCATTTTTGTCTACCTATCGAGTCCTTACCAAGGACCTGGGATAGGCAGATGTGGATGTTTGATGGTATTACAGATATCGTCGCAGGATGGAAGCAGTTCCTAGTAAGGCCGCCTTTTGCAATTGACTAATGGTGAATTTCTCAATGCCACTAGTGCTCCAGTTGTTTTGGGATTGCACCCAAGGTGCCTATTACTATTGGTACTACCCTTGCTTGCCTTTGCCACAGTCATTCTATTTCTATTTGTAGGTCTTTGTATTTTGTTATCTTCTCCAGTTCTTTCTCTTCTATTCTGCTGTCTCCAGGCATTGCCACGTCCACTATCCAGACTTTTTTGTCTTTCTATCGACAATTGTTAAGTCCGGGATATTATGTTGTTGTTATTGTTATTGTTATTATTATTATGTTATTATTATTAAAAGTTGGAAGGGACCTTGGAGGTCATGGAGTCCAACCCCCTGCCCAGGCAGGAAACCCTATACCATTTAAGACACAAGGCTGTCCAGTCTCTTCTTAAAAACTTCCAGTGTTGGAGCATTCACAACTTCTGGAGGCAGGTTGTTCCACTGATTAATTGCTCAAACTATCAGGAAATTTAGAACAATTAATCTGTGGAACAACCTGCCTCCAGAAGTAGTGAATGCTCCAACACTGGAAGTTTTTAAGAAGAGACTGGACAACCATTTGTCTGAAATGGTATACTGTTTCCTGCCTGGGCAGGGGGTTGGACTAAAAAACCTCCAAGGTCCCTTCCAACTCTATTATTAGTATTGTTATTGTTGTTATCATCATCATCATCATCATCTTAGAGTTGTTGCATTCCCACAAGCACTTCAAATCCAACCCCTCCTGAATTGCTTTGACCCTTATCTGGCACCAATTTAGTGTTGCTCTTTAGTTGACCAGATTCTTGGACTTGAATAAATCTTCTATGCTAAAACCTTAGAAATGGTTCTGATTCTTCTTCTGACTTCACTATACTAAACCTGAATCCTGATCAGATTAAAAAACTATGGTTGATGATTTATATATATACAACTCTGGATCCTCCCTCCCCCATGTTTTGCTTGGGGATTTTCTTTAAGTCATCATTTTCCTTGGAAACTCAAGTAGGATACCATATCTGGATTGCAAAAATCAGGACATCCACTACAATATTTTCAGTATCACTTTGCTGCCAAGTAGAAGTCATCTGAATTAGCCTGGATATACAGTTATAGTCTGTATATATGCGAATCCAAAATATCCAGCAACAAAGAAATTGAGGGAATTGGTCCTCTCGTAGAACTAACATAGAACTAACATTTGTATAATACCACTAGGAAAAAATAATAACAGTTCATAAGGTGGGTGTTTTCCTCTGCTGTTGCTTGCTTCCTCAATTAGTGATTCAGTTAGTGTTAGTTTTATATAGGTAATGTTTAAGTTTTCTGTTTGTTCCTCATTCCTTCATACGGTGATTTTGTTTTTTAAAAAAAAGACCAACTCTGCACACTAATAGTGTCTGTAAATTTTGCCTCCATTGTTTCTTACAATAGTTAATGACTATTGGTTTTTTTTTTCTCTTTACGGTCACAAAGTATATTTGGTGCTGTTCGAACGGGTGCTTATATGGTGTATATATTGATGACCAAAGGACTGAAGCAATCAGTTTGCGACCAGAGTTTTTACAATGGACCAGTCAGCAAATTCTGGGCATACGCATTTGTGCTAAGTAAAGCACCAGAATTAGGTGAGTGGCTTTTTTTAAAAAAATAAAAACTTTATGGGACATAATGTAAGCAAAAGAGCAAAGCTGTAAAAGATTTTACCTTGGTGTTTTAAGTGGTTTTAAAATATTCTTGTGCATCCCTATAACTTTCGTATTTGTAAATTTGAAAATCACTTTATCTCCTGAATCAAATTGTAAAATGAAGAGCACATCAAAAACAAACTTGGGGAAATTCTTAGTCCATGCAGTTTTGATTTGAATTATAAAATTTCAGAATTCTTTTATTTATTCTACTCTCCAACTTTACCTTTGCGCTAGAAAATAGCACTTCTCCCATATAATAAATGCTGCACTAGCCACAAATTCATAATGTCTTAGGGCTGTGAAAAGTGCCAGGTGGAAGGATCAATTCATTAATTGGTTAAATTTTTATAGACTAGAACCATGGTGGTGAACCTATGGCACAGGTGCCAGAGGCGGCACTCAAAGCTCTCTCTGTGGGCATGCGCGCCATCGCCCCAGTCCTAGGCCTTCAGCTGAGTTTTATAAAACCTTTTCACTTTAGGCCTCCATCACCGTGTGCAAAAAAAAAAAGGTTCAATCAATCAATCAATCAATCAATTTCAACTTCTCGCGGGGAAAAAAAGATCTCGCAAAGTTGGAATTGATTGATTGAACTTTTTAGTCTCACTCAGTCTGCCGTTACCACCGCAGCCACACCCCCAATTGGCCATGCCCACCCAATTGGCCACACCCACCCAATGGGCCATGCCCACCTGGCACCCGATGATACATAAGTGGGTTTTGGGTTGCAGTTTGGGCACTCGGTCTCTAAAAGGTTCGCCATCACTCGACTAGAATAAACAAAATAACTGTTTTGATACTGTGACATGCATTAAGATGCTTTGATATTATTCAACACCGTGTGGTTTAGGCTGTTTTGAGGAATCTTTTCTTTTTAAAACATTCTTCTAGGGGCATCATCTGATTGAAAGCATAATAAAAAATAGTTGGCCCCTGTGCTTCAGAATGAATTGTGATTAGTGTAGGTTATGACAAGTTAAATGAAAGCAATCCTTTATGAAGTTGAAAGATTCTATGGGGATGCATATAGACATGTTTCTGGAAGATATCAAAACAGCATGGACAATTTTATTATAGGCCTGTTTCCAGAAAAAATGGTTGTGAGTCACTTTGAGAACATATCCAAGCACTTCTGTTGCTTCTATCCAAGCAATCCTATAACTAAGCTCATTGCAAGCACAGTATGACTAGTCCTTGACTTACGCCTGTTAGTTCAGTGACTATTCAAACTTGTGGCAGCATGGAAAATAATGAATGTACAACACATCCTTGAAATTTCAACCATCACATGTCCCAGAGAAGTTCTTCCATTTTGCTAAGGGACAAGCAGAAGCAGGTCCTGTATCTTTAGAATATTCTCCATCCTATAGTACTCCATGTTCCCGTCTTTGGTAGATTAAAAAACTCCTTTCTATTTAACAGAGCATAAGAATAAAGACTAGGATTGTTTTAACCTTTTTTCTACAATGCATTTTCACTTTTTTTACTATTACAATTATGTCACATTTTGCTACATTAATATTGCTCACGTCAGTGCACATAATGTACATTTTCATGTATGACACAGAGAATTCTTTATAGTCTTTTTTCGTTCATCTTAAAATGAAAACCAATAGTGCTAGTTTCTTTCAAGTGTTTTTTTGTCCTTAAATTTGCCTGATCTGTGGTTTTAATGTTAAAATTCAAAGCAGTCTGGAAACCACTGAGAACAGAATAAAATAAAATAATTGGAGGATATACTTCTATGCAGGTAAGTGCATACCAAAGATATCAAACAAGCCAAATATTAGTCATTTTATCATAAAATGTATGACAGTTTGTTTATAAATTTATCCTTGCATATTTTACAGCAGAATAGTAGTGAAAAGAGATATGTAAAATATAAAAAAATGCCTTACAGCACATTCACGAGGTATAAATATTATTTTTTTCAAATACATATTAAAGAGCTGCAGGCCAGAATGTTTCATTGCTACATACAGCAAAATATTACATAGACTGATCTCTGTTATTTATGTGCTTATGGATCCTAACTTATTTAAAATGTGTAAAAACCCATTGCAGTCTAAGTAAAGCCAGTTGCAATTGCTTATGAAAATGTGATATGGCTAATAAAGCTACAGAAGTTGCACTTGAAAGTATTTTTAAGACTAGAATATTATTGATGAAAATGAAGCATCTAATTCAGACATGTCAAACTCGCGATGTCACATGACATCGCGCAACGTATCGGAGCTTTTTTGCCATTGCCGGCAATGGGGTGGGCATGGTTTCCCGATGATGTGTCCGGCCTATGGCCTGGCAGTTTGACACCCCTGATCTAATTTGTCTTTTGCTATCATTCTTTATTTGAATTTTGAAGCACTTGCCTGCATAGAAGCATATCTTCTGTGTCTCAAAGGTAATGTTCAGATAAATATACAATAGTAAAAACATAACTTTAAAAGTTAAAAGAAATAAGGAAGAAAGAAAGCAGCATAGGAAATTTAAAACATTGTTGATAAAATAAGTAAGAGTGGCAGGTTACCTACTAGGAGAAGGGAAATAAAACACACCTACTCAATCTGGAAAAAAAACCCTTGATTTTGCTGCTCATCTTACAGCTTTATTTTGCTTGTTGCCACAAACTAAAATAAAATGAAATATTGAAAGTCATACCTATGAATTAAATAAACTTTTTTGTTTTCTTCTAAAAATGTATTCTGAAAAAAATATTAAAAGAGAGTCAAATATATGGCAGATCTTCACAATTCAGCTGGAAATATGAGGTGTTTAATCCAAAGAGAGAACTGAATCAAGTGCATCATAGAATTAAAGTTTCCTTACAATCCATATTAATACTGCCTTAACATACACTAATGTCTTGTAACTAAAATTATTTTTTCCCGTACTGTTTTGGGTGATGGTTTTCTATAAAAAAATATTTTTCACTCTAAAAATGTGAAGAGAATAAACAAGGTTAATCAGAGCTGAAGGACACTAGCATGATCTCAGAAAGCGTGATTAATTTAGAACCTAAGTATGTTCTTCATTGATATATGTTCTTTTGATTATACTATTACAGGAATAATGATTATCTATTCTAGAAGTATAATAGATTATCATAAAGATGTATTTAACTAACATTTAATAATTTATGGATGTTACCTTCATTATTTTTTGTGTATCTTTCCTTATTAAGAAATAACCATTAAATTTAAGATTAGGGCATGGCAGAGATTTTTATTATGATGTCATTATACAAATACAAATGGTCATAATTAGACTCTAGTACCAAATTTAAGGTGATACTGCATTCAAAATATTTCTGTAGTAAATCCTTATTTCTTATGTTAAAGAACACACACATTTTTAAAATGATGTAATGTTTCAGGGTATTCCAAAGGGTTCTTTTAGTGTCTTCTTTTTTTCCTAAAACCATGTTGTACAATACACATATTGATTCTATTCTTTTTTTTTCTCCCTGTAGGAGATACAATATTTATTATTCTTAGGAAACAGAAGCTCATCTTCCTCCATTGGTATCACCATATTACAGTACTGCTTTATTCTTGGTACTCTTACAAGGACATGGTGGCTGGTGGTGGCTGGTTTATGACCATGAACTATGGAGTACATGCAGTCATGTACACATATTATGCCTTGCGGGCTGCGGGCTTCAGAGTATCACGCAAATTTGCCATGTTTATCACCTTGTCACAGATTACACAGATGTTTGTTGGCTGCATAGTCAACTACCTAGTTTTCGCCTGGATGCAACAAGGCCAATGCCACTCCCATGTTTACAACGTTGTTTGGTGTTCCCTCATGTACCTCAGCTACTTTGTGCTCTTCTGTCATTTCTTCTTTGAGGCATACATTGGCAGAACAAGGAAAGGAAGGAAGGCTGAGTAACGCTAGGAATTCTGCTAAGCCACCACTCAGCCCATCGACCAAACCAGAAACACAAAAGCAAAACAAAATGGCACAACAAAAACCATTTATATGCGGTGCAAGTAAAACTCAGCAGCTGTGGACAGATAGGTTTGTTCAAACCAATACATTTGTGATCATGTTATGGTGTGGACTCAAGGAATGATCTTGCATCCTAGAAGGCTGCTGTAAGACATCTTCTTTCTTGCATCTCTTATAAAGCAATCTTGCATTTAGAAAACAAAAGGAGAAGAAGATCAGAATTTTGCAAAATAAAATCTTAAAATATATGGTTTCCCCGATCATAGATAAACCTTTATTTTAAATGGAATTTATTATATTCTTTCTAACTTTTGTTTTTAAATATATAAAACTTGAACAAACTTTAAGAAGAGGAAACAAATAGTCTGTATCCTATGAATCTACAAAACTGCCTTACGCTGTCGGAGCATGATTCTTCGATTTCCATCTTGTCTACTCTGACTGGCAGCAGTTCCACTAACCTTGGGAAATGCCCTGCAAGTGTGTACACACACACACACACACACACACACACACACACATATATATATATATATATACCCAAGAATCCAAGGATTAAACCTTGGACATTTCTGCAGGCAAAGTATTTGCTCTCCAGTTGAGTTAAGGATCCTTCCTATACAATGCCAGTATTTCTGCAGAGTGGGAAAAAGCTCCTTCTTGAAAGGGTTGCACTCTAGGAAGCCAAATTATAAAAATGAAAGGTTCCTATCAAAGCTCTTATTAGGGCAGCCATTTAAATTCCACTGAAGCACTACATGAAAAAATGGTAACTATGGGTGCACGAGAGAGCATGGGTACCTGTGTTCATATATATTCTGTATTATGCTGTCAGAGGATCTGGTATGTCAGTTAAATTAAAGATTTAGAATTGGAATAATCAGAGAATTGAATACTTTCTTCAGAAATGCATTAGAAGGCATTGATTCAAGTGTATTTTCAGTCCAAAACACGACCGAGAATAGTTTAATATTGAGTCAATCTATTTGCTGGAACTGTTGATAATGGAGAGCAGGAGAAGGAGGGGGAAAAAGGGATAGGAAATGGTCTTTCACAACAAGCCAATTTGCAGAGACTTTCAGCTACTGTGCTGTGATGACCGATTCTGTCCTACTGTTTCAGATCCAGAGGATATCTTAAAGTATGATTGTTCATTCTTCATTTAGTTGGTATATGTCCTCTGAATCACTTTATCCAAAGTTATTTCTATTAGCTAGAATTGTTCAAAATAAGAGAATGCAAATGTTGCAGTAGAACTGGGTTTTGGAACAAAGGATCATGTCTTCTCTTTTTTCCTGATGATTCCTGTGATGGCTCACAGCTCATGACCACAAGTTTGTTAAGAGAACTTGTAATTTCTTTGCCATAGATCATAAACTGGTACAATTTTCAGTGGTGTATGCAAATTGCTGCTCCTACCAAACAAGTCTAAGACTCCCAATAACTGAGGCGGAACCATCATAGGGAGAAGAAAATAGAAGCTGTTCTAAGATGATAAAGCCCGAAGGTACAGCATTAAGTGCAATTGGAATGAGAGGTACAAAGACAAGCAAAAATTAGCTTTGGAGATATATTAGCATTAGATAGATCAGGAAACAAATACTGTGGTATGGTACATATTTTATATTTTTATGAACTTCAAAGAATAGATATCTGCAACTTTAAATGGTATTTTACAGACTGTATATGACTTTAGCTAACACTGTGCTTCTGTATTTGCTTCACAAGCAATGCAAAGATGTTTAAAGTGCCCTCCTGTGGTCAGTTAGAGATACTACTCTAGAAGGCAGACCATGCAATCCTATTGCAAGCTTTGAAGAGGGCAAATCCTGAATAGAGTGGTTGTGCTGCAACAAATTAATGTATAAAAAAACTTCATGCTCACTTTTTTAACAAAAAAAATCCATAGGAAAACTATACTGTAGCATCCTTGATTGCTTAAAAAGACATCTGGTTCTTCAGTCAGCTGCAGATAAAAAGATGCCACTCTGAACCTCAGAGAAATAGCTGAAAAGAGCCATATTTTCTACAAAGAAAAAGTAGATTGTATTATCTGTAAGATTTCAGTCCTTACAAAGCCAAATAAAATATATAACATTCCTAATACTTCAGAGAAACAAGTATGTAAATTTAATGTTACAAGTGTATTAGCATATTTTCTCATTTCTATGTTTGATTCTTTCAACAATTAGAACTAGAGAAACAATTGAAAGCTGCTGTTCTACGTATAGAATCAAACATACATGTAACTACATATATAATCCTTACATGATTTGTCCAAAAAAATTAATGGGGCCAGGCAGAATCACCTTTTTTTTTCTAATGGAAAATGTTGTCAACGTTCTTGCTTTAACCTCAGACTGTACAATACATAGTACTTTCATCTTGATTTAGCTTCAGCTGTGCTGTCTGTCATTCCGGTCTCAATATAATAACCCTGTTAGACATAAAGGGCTTTCAGTGTTTCATGATGTCCAGGAAAACTGCTACATTCTATATTACTGTATGTGAATTGTATTTAAGATTGGGGGGCTGTGGGATTGAGAAGCTCTCTAGGGCTTAATCATAACTGTGAAAAACTGAAAAAAGTTTGTAGCTGTGTCATTTAAGTTATTGATGTTCTGACAATGTTATACACTACAAGAATAACAAAATATATTAAGTAGAACATAAAGAAATAATAGTAAATTATAGGACTTATAGGGTACATGGGCATTAAATTAAAATGTAGACAATGTTATTTGGGGGATAAGATTTAATTATATTCCACAGTAAGCCTTCCTTTGCTTTCTGCTCCCACAACAAATATTTGAAGCAAATCTAAAATGTGGGGAAATTGTGGGAAATAGTAGTTGGTAATTTGCAGCTGTGCCCTTACCATATGCATCTTTCATGCCTCTTTTAAGTATTTCATTATAAGCTGATCTACTCATTCATGGAAAATTTACTTTTTAAAAAAACAGTATTTCACAAGGGATGCTAAGAATTTTATTATTTTTGCTCCATATAACCAAAGGAATGGACTACATCAGTGAAGCATATTGATTTAAAAGTTTTTTTCCTGTTTTATTCTAGTATTAATAATGGGGATAAGCAACCATTTAGTTTCTTTTTTTGTATGACTTGTGAGAATGCTTTGACAGGGCAGTTCTGAGATAGTTGTTCAAATGCACAATGTCACAGAACTCCAAATAGAGCATTCCAGCCTTATTGTGATTTATTTTTGAAAGTGGAAGTTAGTTTATTATTATTAGAAAGAAAAATGAGAAAAAATTGATATTGCACTGTTGTAATAATAATAGCAGTTATAAGATGAACATTTATAAAATAAACCAGAAGAAGACAAGCATCTTTTGTCCAGAATAGCATATTCTGTCCAGAACTAAAATATTTATATCCCAATTCTCCCATTCAAATAACTGGCTCTGAAAACGTGTGAGTCAATAGCTAGCTGGTACCTATCTTCTTTTATTGTATTTGTAAATGAGCAATTTGCATATCTTTGCAAATATACTGCAATGCACAATGGCCTAACATTTATCACCTTTGATATTCTTATAAGAATAAATTCAGCTAAGTTACTATTTAGTAATTGGGTTAAATTATTGCAAAATCTGCAAAATATTTTTCCTTATTGGAAAGCTAATTGGAAACCTTGATTCCTGAAGTTCCATAAACAGATTATAATGTTTCCTGAGTTATTTGTAATTTTCTTAATTGGTGCCCATCGACAGAATCTCTTGCTTTAACCCTTTAGGTCACCAAAATATAGTGAACAAGTTAGATATACTTGCATGATCTATTCTTTAGACCTAAGAAGCTACAGATTCTGCCAATGACCTAAACGTATGCCAGCTAGCTTATCTGGAATATACACGATTCAGTGCTGATGGTCCCATTTTTAGACTATAGATTATACTGAGGCAAGTTTTTCATTGTCATGTGAATTCATTCATTCAGTCTCAGGCTAAGCAACCACCTTATATGGCCTAAATCTAGAACGACTGAGTCATGCTTAAGCATGCTGTCAGTGGATTTGTCTGTGTTGGTTGAGCTGATATAGAAACAGGCGACTCACAAATATAGAGAGAGTAGTGTGGTTAAAAAGAGGTCATCTAAAGGTGGATCAGTAACCGCATGAACATGACTGTCTGCATTGCCTTGAAGAATCTTCCATGCAGAAATACAGTATGTCTTTTAAGATTTGGTATTTCTGGAGGATGGAAGACTGAATAGTTTGCAAAGCTAACCATGTAGTCATATCATGTTGATTCAAAAACAAGACCTTCTTAGTTCAAGGGGGCTTATTCCCCAATAAGTTGGGGTAGACCCAACCATGTCCACACTTTAGCACTCTGACTCATACATCAGTCCTGCTAAAATTTCTCTCAATTATTTATCACTGATGGTCAGTTTGCATACCAGCCACTTACACATCTTAGAAAGTAATTTTCTTGCTCTGTGTTTGCCAACAGTTGTAAATTTTTCTCCATCATCATAAACTATCCAGGAGCTTTTCTTCTTGCTTAGGGCCAGCTTCTTTCAAAGAAGAATTTCAAATATAATCATCTAAGAGAAAAGCATGGGCTTGACTCACACTAAGCAATTTCCTCAATTTCCCATAATAAATTTAATAATTTTCTATACCACATGACGCTTAACATAATAGCCTGGAAGCATATCCTGAAGGGCATTGTATCTGATATTTAGATATTCACCAGGTGAAATTCCCAAATGTTATATTTTCTTGGAGTTCTGACACGTATAGATCCATCAGAAGGATGCCATAGGACACTTCAGGGTCTACTACTCCCTCTTCCTCCTCCTCTTCCTCCTCCTCCTCCTCCTCCTCCTCCTCCTCCTCCTCCTCCTTTGCAGGGGAATACAATTGTAAGAAATTGTTATTCAGAATTCCTTGAAATTGAGGAAGAAATTGTTTTTTCCACCCTTTGTTTTCCTAATTCAACAGCTCATGATCAAATCCTACTGAAAAGCCTTCATTTGGAAATTTATTACTAATTTAATGCATCTGGGTTAAACATTGCCAATTTCTTCCTGCTGTCATTCTATTCCCTGTGAAAAAGGTTTTAAAAAAACACATTCATTCTAGTTTTCAGCATAATAGTTTTATTTTTATGAAAACAACGATTTCCCTTTTGAAGAAAAAAGCAACATGTGTCAGTTTGGTTAAAATGGCCCTGAAATTGC